AGAGTAACTCGGGCAAACGGCCAGGAAAACATTCGATGGCTGAGAAAGAAGAGTGTTCGAAGGTTGCTCACCCCAAGCAAGCAAACAACCAAGCCCGGTGTGCCAGTATGAACCTGCGCCCAAGGTGCGCTACACATCAATCAAATGCTCAAAACCGATGTCCCAATTTGCTCCCACATTCGGAAACCTAGGATAAAACCTATTATTCAAACAATTATAGCATGGCATCGTATGCTAGCACGCTTGGGAAAAGCGATCGAAAAGGACAAGTAACTGAACTCTATACTTTCCTGACCTCATGGAATACAATTGACCTCAGGAACCATCTTAACACACAACACTCAAATCGAGGCCTGGCCAGAAACCCTCAAGTGAATAAGCAGCTAAGTCAAGTACAAAAAATACTTGACAACCTTACGGCTCACTAAGACAACACGACCACAAAAGCTGTCAGCTCCCCATTTTTTGAGGATGTGTATCGGGCACCCCTGTTGCCAGGCTTCAAATCGCTAGATAGCAAGTTTGATTGTAAAGGCGATCCTCGAGATCATCTAGATGCCTTCAACGACTTGTTGGAATTGCATCAGATCTTCAACCTCGCCAAGTGTCGTTACTTCACAGTCACCTTTATTGAAGACGTGAAGAGATGGTAGAAGAGGTTCCCAATGAACTCAGTCTTTTCTTGAGAACAGTTCATCGTGCTATACCTCCAACAATTCCAAGGGAGGAGGCATTCTGCAATGCCCTTGATTTACCTCAGTAACATCAGGCAAGAGAAAGACAAGACACTAACCTCATATTTAATGAGATTCCAAATCAAGCAAGGCAAAGTTACGAACGCACTAGAGGAATTAATCTAGACACTCTTTGTTGCCAGAATAAGACACATACTGAGCTATGGAAAGATTTACAAGGGGAAGACCGTGTAAGTCTAGCCCGTTTCTACGAGATGGCCATGAAGTACCAACAGGTAGAAAGCTCAATATCCGTGCTAAATGTCGAAACCTTGACAAGTGCTCTTGCTGAAGATGATGATAGGGCAAGAAAGAAGAGAAGGAATGACTAGGATCGAGGTAGCAGGGATATGTGTAACTTCCTAAAGAAATAGCGAACAGAACCAAGGATCGACCACGAGCCTTTTCATCAGTTTGGTGTGTATGCCCATTTGGTCATTCTGCTCGAAGAAACCCTTGCAGTTTCAGGCGAGGCTAAGCAATTGCCCAGGCTAGGAAAGTTAAAGGGGCAATGTAATAAGAGAGAATCCTAATAAGAGAGACTCCCAACAATACTGGATATACCATAGGGATGTCAACCATAACACCAATGAGTGCCAAGTCCTGAAAAACACGATAGAGGACCTTATCAGAAGAGGTCACCTTAAGAAGTTCGTGAACAAGTCACAAACCCACGATGATTGAGAGGGTCATCATGAAGAGTAGTGGCAGAAAAAGTCTGCTCATGTCAAGGTTAACATGGTTAGAATGATCCATGGGGGACTAAGCATCATAAGGGATATTAGGCGTGCTTGCACAAAGTATGCTCATGGGGCAAGGATAGACCCAGCACCTCGGGTCCTTAGCCTCGAAAATATGCCATTGAAGCAGCCTAAGGCAGAAAGCCCAATCATAGGCTTCACGAAAAAAGAAGCCTACTTGGTGCACCATCCCTATCACATAACTTTGGTGATCATGGTGTAGATTGATAATAGTGAAGTGTACAGGATCATGATAGATAATGGAAGTGCAATCAACATTATCTACATCAAGGCATTCTGCAAAATGGGGTTCAGCGAGCAGGATCTAAAATTGTTGTCAGCACCATTGTATATAGGGGTGAGCATGGGTAAAGGGTAGAACCAAAACTAGGTGGTTCTAGAAAATTGGAATTGGGAATTCATGGGTCTGGTTTCGATTCCCGCAGTTCTGGAACCGAGAACCGAAACCGAAATCAAGATTTGGGTACCTTGTTAGGAAACAATTTAGGAATCGAGGTTGGAATGAAATAGCATAAAAAACTAGGGGGTCTTATGTAGATTTACATTTCAAAATCAAAATACCCAATTCGATTAATATTTGGGGAAAATCGATTTAGGGAAAACAATATGTCGTTTTCTTCTTCTCTTCTGTTAAACTTCGTCATTCATCGTCCAGTTTGCCGTTCTCTTCTCTTGTCATTCGTCGTTTGTCGTTTGTTGTCAAGTTGGTCGTCTAGTCTACCATTCTCTCCAAGGAAGGTAATAGCGAGAATTCAACATTTTTTTTTTTTTTTATTTAGGGTTTTGTTGTGTTGCTGAGAACTTGAGATTGGTTGTGAAATTTTTGTGATTGTTGTTCATCGTTTGTGCCATATTTTCAATCACTCTACGTGTGTGATAAACAATGTAGGATCTGGGATTGGTTTCTTTTAAGTTTCAATATTCCATGAAAAAGTATTAACCATCACAATTTTAAAGACTAAAAGTTGTTTGAATTTGACGTTTTGATTGATTTAATTAATACACAATAGCTGTTTGATGAAAAAAGGTTGTTGGTTTAAAGTAATAATCACAAATAGAGATGAAAATATCATTGAGAAAGAGCTCCCAATTCACTTAAAATCCATCCGAGAGTTGAAAAGTGTAGGATTTGGGATTGGTTTCTTCATCATTGTTTGTTGATTCGCTATGTATCCCCTATACAAATTGGGTTTCATGTGTTTAATCATTGAAAATCTGGATATGTTTTTTATAAAAAGATTGTATGTTTTCATAATGGGACTGTGAAAAAAGATCATCAATTATCATCACTTGGAAAAACAAACTCTCTTCACATTACAAAATGTGTAATTATGTAATTGTTTATTTGCGTATTTGTAATTGTTTATGTGAGTTGGAAACATTGAAGTGTACAAGATCATGATAGATAATGGAATTGTGAAAGATCAGCAATGATCATCACTTGGAAAAACAAACTCTCTTCACATTACAAAATGTGTAATTATGTAATTGTGTATGTGAATTGGGAACATTGTACCAGTTTGTAGTTTTGCAAGCTACCCATTTGAAGTAAACTGCAAATTGCCCAGCAACTTGGAAGTCACTAGAGATAGAGCCAAAGGTTTGCTATGAAGAATTTGGGAGCTACAAAACAAATCCTTGGTATGAGGATTACTAGAGATAGAGACAAAGGTTTATTGAAGCTGTCACAAGAAGAATATGTAAAGAAAGTACTCAACAGGTTCAACATGGGTGGAGCAAAGCTAGTAAGTACCCCTTTGGCAAGTCACTTTAAACTATCCAAAGATCAGTCACCTATAATGGAGGATGAGTGAGACTACATGGCCAAGGTACCCTATGCATTAGTGATTAGTAGTCTTATGTATGTCATGGTGTGTACAAGGTCAGACATAGCACATGCAGTGGGAGTTGTGAGTAGGTACACGAGCAATCTAGGAAAACAACATTGGGAAGCAGTGAAGTGGATTCTTGGATATTTGAGAGGTACTACATATTCAACATTATGTTTTAGAAAGTTAGAATTAGAGCTACAAGGTTATGTGGATGCTGATATAGCTGGATACATTGATAACAACAAGAGTACCTACATTAGGTGGTAAAATAGTCAGTTGGGTTTCAAAATTACATTGTTGCCCACTCTACTATAGAGGCATAGTTTGTTGTTGTAACAGAAGCTAGTAAAGAGCTCATATGATTGCAACGATTCCTATAAAAAATAGGTTATGTTGAGCCCTCACGTGTTTTGATGTGCCAAAACTAATAAAAAAGAGTGATTAATAGATTAACAATGTGCAATGATATGAAATAAGTCATAACCAAAACAAGCAGATTTTCCAGGAGGAAGGACCATTCAGGCATATGGGACGCCCATCTCATCTAGATTTTTTGGAAAATAATCTCCCTTCAAGTCGTTCCATTTAGGAACGACGCCATTCCTCATGCCTGTTCACGGTTCTATTCAAAATGAAGCAAAAATCTTTTTCAAGCAAAATCACTAGAATTGGAATGACCAATCTGCACGACTGTCCCAGCTAGCCGTTCCAAATATATCAAGTCTGATTCAAAAAGGCTAGCACACATCTGCAATTTGAACATCATTTGTGATGTAGGAAGGAACAACCTTCCATATAAAGTCTTATAATTTAATTTAGGAAGCATTGCTTCAATGCTGTGGCTATTGCAAATCACAACTCTTTACATTATCAAAATGAAAAGGATAGCTTTGAAGGGTAACAAACAATGATTGAGATTTCTTTCTGCCAATTCCTTTAAATAGAGGCATTACTTTTGCGCAATTCGCAATTAAGATCAATTTTTAGAAAAGCTTTTATTTCATTAACCAGAAAATATTCTAGTTAATATATTTACACAAATTTCTTTTTAATTTTTTCTTCACCTTATCAACCAAAATAAGTACAGGGCTAGAAAAAGATGAAAAAAAATAACATAAGGATCAGATATGTTACCCAAACAATTGACATTTCTTGTATGTGCATATTCGTCTCAGAGCAGCAAAAGAATTTTACCTCCAACAAAACCTGCAGTGTTTTTTTTTTTTATTAACATGTGCTTCTGTCTCATTGGTAATAGAATAACAACTAAAACAATCGATATTAATTTGAAAGTGAAGAATTGAAGAATACGGTTGATTGATTAACAAAGCATGAAAGGAAAAAGGATTAATGTTAACGTTTATCACTTATCAGATCAAAGCATTCAAGAAATTCAGTTTTAGCAATTTATTCCATAAATGAAGCAATAAGTGCCTTAAAATGCAAAAATGTCAGAGAGAATAAAATAGATCTCTGAAATAGACTATTACCAGTATAGTTTTTGGTTTTTTGGTGCATCCCTGCATAATGGCAAAAATTTATCATTCTTTGGAAACTCTGAAGGGAAAACAATGAAGTTATAGAAAAGAGAGGACTAGAAATTTACTTGATTAATTTCCCGAAAGACTAAAATTAATTGAAATAAAAAATATAGTGGGCATAGCTATGAATTACTTGTCTTAATGAACATGTTTGGGTTCCTGAAAGCCTCCAAGCAGTTTTGGGAAATTCAGAAAATAAGAAGAAGGTAAAAGTTCATGCTCTGAATTAGAGATGTAAGAAATTAGTAACTAACTATAAAGAAAAGTCAAACACAATAAGAAAGACTGATAGATAAATTTGAAGAGAAGCATCAACCTGTTGAAGAAGAAGAATATCTTCTGAACTCATCTATAAGCAGGAATGTTACCAAGAACCGTCCTCCGGAGATTTTTCCATTTCATGTCATCACTAAGCAAGTAAAGTTCTTCATCGGATCTAAGAGTCAGATTTTGGAGAGAGGGAAGAAATTTTACAGCTTGCTCCACTTCATTAAGTCTTGGACATGGCAAAATTTTAAAATCCACTAGAGAAGTGAGGTTTTGCATCATTTCCACTGGTAGCGATTCTAGATCGAGAATTCTTAAAATAAGCATGGACTTTAAATTGGAGAGAGGGGCAGAAAAGCTTGAGGAAGTTGATGCTCCCACTCTGTTCATCAACATCATCGTCTGTTCCAACGGTTTCGAGCTAGTCTGACGCAATTTTAGTTCTTCCAGGGATGGATACAGCGGCATGAACGTCAACATGGGGCAAGTCTGGGCATCTAATTTGGAAAGAGACGAAAACGAAGGAAATTCTGCTCCATTATCCATATCTCTCCTCCACCATCCCTTTAATTTCTGACAAGAATAGAGTTTGAGTTCCTGTTAGAGTTTATGTGCTGGAGATAACTAAGAAAAGAATGAGAGCATAATGCAAATGAAGAAAAGTGCCTGAATTTTCTTAAGTTCAAAATGAGTTTACACTTCAACTAATAAAGCAGATTTTACACTATTACACCAACCATGCAGACATAAAGTAACTTGATTTAATCTGAATCTATTGACTTAATACCAACTAAACAACAACTATGGAACACATCCCATATAATCTGGGACACATATCAAGCATTACAAAAAAGTATAACTTTGCAGTGTTACAAATGGACCCCTGGCAGATTGCCTTTCAGTTTTACCGCCAAAAACATATTTGAAACATCAGTTGAACTGCTGCATTTCCAGCCAAGTATCAACCTTCAACAGTTCCTTAAGTGATGGGAAGAACGTTGAACAATTGTTACTTGTTTTCTCTAAAATGTACTCAAGACAATCTAGATATGCAAGGGACAAACTCTTCAAATGAGGTAATTGATCCAACGGTGGGATATTTTGGCATCTCCTACAATGTTTTATACTAATTGAAGTTAGATTTCTAAGGGAGGAAAGCCAATTAGACAATTTCACACCCATAAATGAACTTATATTAATTTTTTTCAGATTTGGGTGTGGCTTTAGACCTTCTAACACCACTTCATCAATCCCTTGAACCTCTTCACCATCACTTCTCCCCCAATCCAATATTAGAGACCGAAGAAACTGCTTCCCTTCTAAGTTGGCCAACTTTCCATTTTCTTCGTATTTTAAATTTTTAATTCTTAGTTTTCCTCTCATGTTGTTCAACCCTTTCAATTCCTCAATCTCACCATGTTTATTTTTTCATTGACTCACTACAAATAGTGATAGAGTCTGAAGATTAGTCAAACACCCTAATCCATACGGCAGTCCAGTTAAAGAATCACATTTTTTATTTATAAGATGCCTAAGGTTCAGCATCTTTCTAATATCTCTGGATAGTTCCTTAAGCTTGTAACAATAAGAGAGATCTAATGTTTCCAAATTCCAAAGCCTTGGCAAAGAATTAGAAAGTATTTCAACGCGCATACAAGAAAGATTGAGATACCGTAAATGCTTCAATTCACTGATTAAACTCTTCAGTTCACCATTTGAACAGAACAACTTCTGAAACCTTAACTCTCCAAAGTCCAATGTTCGCAAATATCTATAACTTGATAAAATTTCATAGCCATCATCCAAGTCAAATCGCCAATTTGATTGATAAAATAAAAGTAAACTTCTTATATTTCTAGCCCTATACAATGCAACCGGAGACTTCCATAATCGTTTTACTTCACCACAATCAAGTGATACATGACGACAACTTACATCCACACTTTCAATCGAGTCAATAGTTTCCACAATGCATTCAGTTCCTACAACCGATTTTGCAAGATCACGCATAAGACCATGCATCTTACATGTGATTACATTTCCCCATTCATCATACTCTGGATCTTGGAAAAATGACCTCAAAAGTAAAGCCTTAAAATACTTATTACCAACATCTTCTGGACATTCCTTGTTTGATCCTTGAAGAAACCCTTGTGCCATCCAAAGACAAATTAGTTTTTGCTTATTTATCTTATAATCTATAGGAAACAATGCACAATAAGCAAAACATTGTTTTAAGTGTGAGGGAGATGATCATAACTAAGCTTGAGTGAAGGTAAAATACACTTTCTTTTTCAATCACATTTGACATTTCATTATTCTCAAAACGCAACCAATCATCTTTTTTATTACTACCATAAAGTAAGCGTCCTATAGTCATTATAACTAGAGGAACCCCTCCACACTTTGCTACAATCTTCTTTCCAATATCTACTAGTTCTGAATCTTTTGGCTCGTCTATCCCATGTTCAAAGGCTACTTTTGTAAACAAAGACCAAGACTTGTTTTCGTCTAGTACTTTCAAGGGATAGACATAAGATTTAAGTTTGTTAGCAACCTGCTCATTACGTGTAGTCACTAGAATCTTACTTCCTCTTTCACCATCCATTAACAAATTTTTTAATTCATTCCATGTATTAGGATTTTCATTCCATATATCATCTAGAACTAGTAAATATTTTTTTCCCATTAATTTCATTGCGTAGGTATTCTTGCAATTGATCCATTTCAAATCCTTCAATTTTCTTACCAGCTACAGATTTTAGGATCTTTTCCACAATTATTTTCACATTAAAGGTATTAGATACGTACACCCACATCCTTAATTGAAAATAGTTTATGATATGCTCATCATTGTATAAAAGTTGAGTAAGTGCAGTCTTTCCTAATCCTCCAAACCCACATATGGAAATGATTGAAATATTCTCATCCGTGTTTGAGTCCAATAGAAGTTGTATAACTTTTTTTTTTTTTATCGTCATTTCTTCCTGTAACCTGTTTTGCACGTATGAATGAGTGTGTTTCCCTTTCTATGTTCATGACTCTTTTTTCCTCAAGACTCTCCTTAAGGTCGAAGTTCCTATCAATATTAATCGCATCTAGTTTCTCCTTAATAGCCTTAATCTTATGAGCCATTTTAATACTATATGCAATCTGATTAGATTTGGAGAAGAAGATGCATACCTCTTTTATCAATTTATTTCCAGTCATTACCTCTCGCCGTTGAAGTTCAATAGAGAAATCGTCTAGCAAATCACCTGCCTCATAAAATGCACCTTTGAGCCTCTGAATCCAATCTATCACCACGTGGTTCATTTTGCTGTGTTGCTCCTCAGCATCGAGAAGAACAAGTTTGATAGTGTTGATAGTGTTGTTGAGTTTTCGAATCTCATCATTAACACCCCATGCCAATTTGCCTTCTTGGACAGCCAAGGACCCTAACTCTTTCAAGATTTTCCCGGCAATGCTAAATACTATTCCTTCTGCCATTTGTTCTTGGTTGTTGTAACACAAATTGATTGTAAAAATGTGAAGAAGGTAGCTGTAAAATTGATCGTGCGACATCTTACTCATATTTATAGACAAAAGTAAAAACAATCTTGAAATATGGAAAAGATACTTGAGTTAATGATGGAAAACCCAAGCTCAAAGAAAAGTAATTGCTTTTCTTGAACAATAGTTCGAAATACATACTTGCCGTAATGAAAGAAAAAATTGATTTTACATGGTTTCCTTCTTTTTCTTGCGTAACGATTTTGCTTTAATTTGATACTACTGGTAATTAGTTCCTGATATTGTCGTATTATATATCTGTTTTCCTGAAACTTTTGTTATTTTTGATAATAAAAACGCCCAGAAATTTAATTTATTAATTAATAATCGAACATAAATATATATTGAAGTTTAACATATCAGTACCTTATTTGCGTAATCCAAAAGCTTTAACAGTTAAGTCATACGCATTTATTTTTATCTCGTATACGTCCAGAAAGTTGGTGATAAGTAAGGTGGACAGTGCTTTTTTCTGTCTATCTTTTTATTTATTTTTTATTTTTTATTTTTATATATATACAACGGAAGAATCAAATAAAGCAAAAGTGAAAGTGAAAGATGAACTTTGAAATAGAAAATAAAAAGAAAAAGCATGAGATCTCTCTATTCACATGCCTTCCAAATAATTTCAGATTTTCTCATCATGCTGTGGAGTACGAACACCTTCAATTTCTAAATGAATATATTTTAAAATAAGGTCAGAGAGCACTTTTAATTATTTCAATCCCGTTGTAATTGATTTTTAATTATAATTTCATGACTAAATTATTCAAAAACAAGAAAACCATTTTCACTATAAATAGGAGACTGCCTTCTTTATTAGTTCCATTTTGAAAATATAAAATTCAAAATTTCAAGAAAAATTTGCAAACTCACATCAAAAATAATTTAATTTGCTTAAATTGACATTTAAGAAAGGTTAATACTATAGGAAGGAACAAACTAATTTCTTGACAAATTGCATTCTTAATTAGTATTTCCATATGTTTAGGAATAACATTTTATTAGATCAAATTTAATTTTTTTTTTTAAATTCATTTATCTAATTTTGGAAAGCGTTTAGATGATTTTCATAATCTTAAAGACCTGTCATATAAATTTCAGAACTGATGAGACTTGTTGGTATTTAATTTAAGTAATAATACACATCTCATATTTATATCTCATCTTTTGCATAACAAATGATCTTGCATTTCATTTGTTATCTTATCATTATTCAAATTAGACTAAATAATTGATGTTATATATATTATTTGTGATCTTAAAATTAGAATACATAGTATTATTATTACTTTATTCAACATTAAAAGAGATCTAAAAACCTTTTCCCTTAGTGCATATTCCAAAATAAATGTTATTTTATTTTTCAAGTTACAAAATTTAGTTAAAGTGTAAGCTAATAATCTTTGCACTAGCAAGACACACTTTCATAATTCAATTAAACTATGAAAAAATATCTTCACATAAGGCAAGTTAATTGGAATTGAAATCCGAAATCACAATTATCATATATCCAATAGCTTGATAAAAGTATTTTCATAAATGTTTTGCAATATGTTTATATATGTATAAGTAAATTGGATCTTGAAATCCTGATTCACAATAATCATATATTCAATACTTTTATAAAAGGTATTTTCGTAAATATTTTGCAATGTGTTTGATACGTGTAAGTAATTGGATGTTTTGAATTTGGAATAATATTAAGCATACACCGGGTGAGATTTTGAAAAAAAAAAAAAAAAGAATTAAAATTATATTATATTTTATATATTTATTAATCTAAATTAATAGTTTATTATATGATATTCAACCTAACTTTGTAAGAAAAATCTTTTAATTCTAGTGAATATTTTTAATTTTAAGTTAATATTTTTGGGAGATTATCATTTAAGTACAATATTTTGCAAAAATATAAAAAAGGACACAAGTTTCAAATTTATCAATTTAAAGATATTTAACTATGAGAGCCGGTTAAATGTAAAAGGGTGAAAAGTCAAAATATATGGTTTCTAAGAACATGACATTGTAAAACCTATACAAAACCGAAAACAACCCTTATAATGAAATAAAACTTGGAAATTCACTAGCTTCTTGTTGTTAACCAATGGGTTCGACGAGGTCAAAATTTTGATCTATTTTAAAGTGCTTCTTCTTCCTTTTTATCCTATAACTAGTAGAGCAAAACCCATTACCAGCAGTAAGAGAGAGGTGGGTTTAATACAAATACCTAGCAAAACATAATATAAAATAGCACACAACACCAACAAAGTTACGGACACCGAATATTTTCCACCGAAAATGTGAACCGGCCTACGTGTACCCAGGCGCCTGATTTTTCTATCAATTTTTTTCTAGTGAACGGTCGTCCATCAAATATGGACGACCGTTTACTCACATGGACTCCTGTCCATATTATATGGACGGGGGTCCATGTAAGACGGACGGGCGTCTCCATTTAAAGGACGTCCGTCCATAAATAAAATACAATAATTTTTTTTTATAAACATTAGGGACGGCCGTTCATCCGTTATGAACGAGCGCTCGCAAATAAGTGACATCTGTCCTTAACCAAAATATGAAAATAAAAAAAAATAAAAAACTTTGGGGACGGCCGTCCATAAATTTTGGACGGTTGTCCCTTACGTTTGGACGGGCGTCCATTCCTAATGGACTCCCGTCCCTTATGTTTGGACGGGCGTCCATTAGGAATGGACGCCTGTCCATACTTTTAAAAAAAAATAAAAAATCTAAACAAAACTCTTCTTCTTCGTCTTCATTTCCCATGTCCTCTCTTTTTCTTCGTCTTCGTTCCCCATCTCCAAAGTCCAAAAGCTTTTTCACAGATCCTCAAGACAGATATTGAAAGTCGAATAAATATAAGTTTTAGAGGTAGAGTTAATAAAAATAGAATGAAAAGGTTACTACAATATTTGAATTTCTGCCTCCTCTTATCTCTTTTCAAAGCAAGAAAATGCAGAACTTGAAGCGACCATAAATCTATCATTGCTGCAGGAACTAGGAAAAACCATTTGCGAGGAAGCCAGTTGACTGATGCCACAGGCATATAATGATACAAGTGCTTTCCTCCGTCCAGCTTCTAGGAGTAACTATATGACAATTATCATAAACCACCAGAGAATGGTTTTCTAATGATTGTGGCCAGTACTAACTTAAGATCCACCATTAGTATGGCCTGTACCTCATCGGCCGCCTGAATCTGGGAACCCTCCTGCGAATGTGGAGAAATAAGTGAATTCAGAACATGAACAGCCACAGAAACTAATAAATTTGATTTATATTTTTTGCAGCATGAAACAAGAAATATAAAGGCAAAGCTAGCAGTTTCCAAGCCATCAATCAAAAACTAAATTAAAAAAAAAAAAAAAAAAAAATTTAATCTATTGCACTTCCAGCGGGTATTCAAAATGTTGCTCGAATGAAGCAAATATACAATTCATGACACGTACATGCACTAGTTTCTAAATGTGAAGCAGGAAGAAAACGTAAAAGTATAAAGGATCCCTCCAAAGCCCAAAAGCTTTTTCACAGATCCTCAAGATAGATATTGAAAGTGGTTCAGTCTCTGCCCAGAAAGCTTGACTCTTCTGTTGAATGGGAACCCGTCAGAGAAGCGAACCAAGTGAAGCCCAAGACGCATTACGGTCATTTTTTGAGAGCCAATGGGGGCTTGCCGCCTTGGAGAAACTCTTGTCACTCATGATATTACTCATGGAACAGCAACTTACTTGGAGTTTCTGATAAAGCTGTCCGTGCTCTCCCTGTTTTGCTTTTGTAGTTTTCTGGGCTTTGGAGCCTTTGGATTTGGCACGCCGACCTCATAAAACAAAGACGAAGAAGAAGAGAGGAGATGGGGAATGAAGACGAAGAAGAAAGTTTTATTTAGAATTTTTTTTTTAAAAAAAAAAAGTATGGACGTCCTTCCAAATGTAAGGGACAGCCGTCCAAAATTTATGGACGGCCCTCCCCAAAGTTTTTATTTTTTTATTTTCATATTTTGGTTAAGGAGGAGCGTCCCTTTTTTTAGGGCGCCCATCCAAAATGATGGACGGCCGTCCCTAATGTTTATAAAAAAATTTTATTGTATTTTATTTATGGACGGACCTCATTTAAATGGGGACGCCCGTCCATCGTATATGGACCCCCGTCCATATAATATGGACGGGAGTCTATGTGAGTGAACGGTCGTCCATATTTGATGGACGACCATTCACTAGAAAAAAATTGATAGAAAAATCAGGCGCCTGGGTACACATAGGCCGGTACACATTTTCGGTGCAAAATATTCGGTGTCCGTAGCTTTGTTGCACACAACACATCCACCCATCATGCCGCAAGGACTTTAACCTGTCAAATCAAATTAACAACAACCACCTTCGATTAAAAACTTATAGGTTAGGTCGATCAATAACAATTTTACTCACCATTCAATTTCAAAGTTACAAATAGGCAAAACTTATTATCCATGAATGAAGTATTAATTTAGAAATCAAGACTCCTGGGGGTGTGTTTGGTAGAACATTTTGAGTAATATTTTTATAAAAGTTGAGTTGGGTTATTATTATGAGGATATGATTTGAATTTGAAAATGTGTTTAGTAAATTTTTGGAAAACATTTTCTGAAAATATTTAGATTATTTTTTAATCCTCTATATTTGTTAATTTAGCTAAACACCCCCTACAATAAAACATTGAAAATGAACAAAAACAGCCTCACCCACTTATTAAATGCCAGCAGTCGGCCACCATCGCCGGAGGGTGGCCATAAGTCATTGGAATGGGGTATGACTGGTTGGATCTGGCCGATCGTGTGCTAATCTGGCCTTTTTCGGCCAGATCCATGGTGAATCTAGTCGGAAAAGACCAAATCTATGGCTGTCAATCCTAGATCTACGGCCAAAGATCCGGTCGTTGACAGCCAGATTTAGTCGTCAACAATGGCCATATCTTGGCTATCGTTGACGACCAGATGTGGCCAGATCTGGCTGTCAACGGCCCAATCTTTGGCCGTAGATCTGGCATTTTCCGGCTATATCCACCATGGATTTGGCCAGAAAAGGTCAGA